GGGGGGAGGGGGGGGAGGGGGGGGTTGTATGTTTAAAATTGTATTTGTATTTGTATGTTTTACTCTTAAAAAAATGTATAACTAACAAACTCTCTGCACATGTGCAGAAGTACCACACATGAACAAAGCAGGAGGCGTGAATGTGCTCCCACACCAGTAGCAAAGGTAAAATAATTTCATGCCTGCGACGGAGGGCGTGGGCTCAATCCCTATTCCCATGAGAAACAACGTAGGGAGGAGGATAAGGCAGTGCTGGGCCTCTCGGGCCTCAGAAGAGTAGGCAGGGAGGAAGAGAGGGCACAGGCTGACTGAGAAAGGGAGGAAGAGGTAGAAAGTGCAGGTGGTGGAGCAGGGGAGTGGTGGAGCTCCAGAGACGAGCAAATGCTTTCCCCCCGTCCAATCCCCAAGTGCAGAGAATGGAGAGGAGGCAGAGGCAGCACAGGGCAACCTGACTACTTGGGAGGAGGCACTCTGCCCCTCCTCACAAGGATCACCTGGAGAGTATCATTCAAGGAGATGCTGTGAGGAGGGGCTTTTGTCGGGAACAAGTGTTGCATTTCAATGCAACACGTTCCACGGTTCCTAGAAGAACTTTGCTCCCAAATCCTTGCTTTTGTTGACTGAGGTTTGATCCTTTGCCTTGACGTTGGTGGACTTCCACTGCCAGGAAGTTGCACGAAGCGTATGCAGGTGCGTGGGTTCGAGCCTTGCTCTGGGAGTGTAGGTGTACCCTGTGGGCAGAGACTTTGGGGAACGGATCAGGAATTGTTGGATTGTGGGGATCTGGGGGGGGGGGAATTGGTGGTTGAAAAAAAAGACTGACCAGCTTTCACCTAGCAAGTGTTGCTTGCGTGCCAACCCTGGGTCACAACACAGCAGTTTTGCACAATTAGGAGAAGGACTTTTATGAACTATGTGATCTCATTTCAGAGTTCAAAGATCTAACATTTGGACTAAGACTACAGAAAGAACAGCACTCACATACAGTTAGCATCTAAGAGAAACCAACCCTCTTCTATCTTGGCTAATAGGCATTTTTGCTTCTAAAAAACTATTTGATTCTTTAGATACACACACTTAGCTACGCTTGAGATGCTGTTATCATGATAAAGCATGTATTCACAATTCATTTAGTATTTAGCTCAATTGTATTCCCATGAGAAATACTAATTGATTGGGTACCTGTACTCTAGCCTCTGGCAGATTAGTGCACATTGCCAATCTCTCCCGCATCACCACGTCTGGATAGTGAGTTTTCTGGAAAGTTTTCTCCAAGGCCTCCAGTTGTTGGGCTGTGAAAGCTGTGCGGCTTCTCCTCTGTTTGCGGTGCTGGGAGCCATAACGGGCCTCCAAGATGATGTCTTGAAACGTACAGCCGTTGGAAGACAAGAAATAGGGCCAATTTAATTAGTGTAATTTGTGTGTTAAAAATAATAACAACAATATGGCAGCCAACAAAAAATAAATAACTGGGAAAAACTTCTACTTCAAGGCTACCATCACTTGCCTGATTTGACCAAAGAAAGCAAGATCCAAAGATGCAAGGCTAAATTAATGGGCATTAGTATATTATTTGAAATACAAGTAAGTTTCAAATATTTGCTCTTGCATGTAAGCCAATCTTTCCTAAACAGGTCCCACTGGAAGTAATTTGATTTCAGCGTTCATGATCCTAGCTAGCAAAGTCAACAAATCAGGACAGCACCGGGTTTGGATGAAAAGAAGGAATGGCAAACATTATGAAGCTCTGCCTCTTTGCTGTTCTATTAACCCCTACTGTATATGTAGAAGATTATTGTCTGCAGAGTTCAACTTTTCTGTATCCATGGAAGTATTCCCCAAAGTTCAGACCCTCATAAAACCTGGCAAAAAGAAGGATCTTTGGGGAGATCCATTTTCTAAAATGGGGGGGGGGGAGCTTCCACTACAGAACAGGCAAAGATGTCTCAAGAGGAATCTAAAGAAGTCCTCCAGAGCTTTCTAAATGAGAGAAAATAAACTCATTTAGTGGTAACAGTGAATGAAGTCTTCTCTCACTTTCTCATAGAAATTTAAGAGCCAAGGTGGCGCAGTGGTTAAAAGCAGCACTGCAGGCTACTGCTAGANAGAGTCGGGAACGGCTAGCACATATATGTGAGGGGAACCTTTACTTTTAATATTTTTTTATTACAAAGGAAGGAAGAGCTTTAATGCTTAATTTAAAATAAAATTTAATTAAGTTTTAATTTAATTTATTTTATTTATTATTTTTGCAAAAAGCTTGGCAAGCAGCTGATATAAGAAAGTTTAAAATAGATGAAGTAGGACAATTATTTTGAAAGATTAATTTTTTGTGAAAATGTTTTAATTGGAAATATATTAGACACACGAACCAGACCTTTGTGGAAATGTTTTCTCTTTACTATTAATAAGTGCTGATAATTGGTGGATTTTGCAAACCAAAAGCAAAAAAGTAATGAGTCAGACTATAATGCTGACTGCATCTATGAAGATGAGGATTGTGAGGTTGATTATGGAGTGACATTAAAGATAAAAGTATTAAAGGCACAGAGAGAAAGAAAAAAGGAGGGCAAGTTTGTCTTCATCCCTCTTCTTTGAGACATTTTCTTTTTAGCATTACAAGCAGGACATCAAGAAAAGCAAGAGGAGAGGATAATTTGAGCAACCTGCAGAGGAAGGAATTAAACCAGATCTGCTTCAGGAAATGTTTGAGGAAATAGCCAATATATCAGCAGAATGACTTGATACCAAAGTAACTAAATCATTTGTTACCAAATTGATAGGTTTGGGGGGAGGGGGAATAGGTGAAAGATTTGTAAAGATGGAAGAGGATATGAGAGATAAAGTTAAAAAGATGGAAAGCTTGTAAAACAAGTCTCCATGTAGTAAAACAGGTCTAAATCAAAAAAACGAAAGCATAAGACAGAAGTTATAGCTATAGAATTGAAAAGAGCACTAGATAACCTATCTCTATTGGAATTAAGAGTGAAGGTATTTTGTTTGAGACTTAGAGCAATCCAGGAGGAATAAAGATATTAGAGAAAAGCTGATTAAAGCCCTGGCAAAGTTTTTGGATTAGGAAGAAGACTACACTGAAGCAGAAATTGCTAAAGTTCAATTTCAATTTCAATTTAATAAAATTTGTATGCTGCCCACTCCCTTGGGACTCTGTAGAATAAATTCCAGTTGTGCATGAACAAGAAATGTTCTAAGGGATGTTTTGGTGAAATTTATCAGGAAGAAGGCAAGAAATCAAGTTTTGAAACAGCATTTTAATACAAGATTGAAGATTGATAAATCAGATATAATTGTTTTTACAGAAATTCCTATTGGAATTTTGCGTACTTATTTTTGACTGAAAGGTTAAAGCAGAAAAAATGCATTCTGATGGGACAAATTCCAAGGTTTGATTTTTAATTTTAAATAGCAGAGGTTTTGATTAAATTATGTTGAGAAAATGAGGGAATTTTTAGAAAAATCCAAGAGAAACAGGAGATCCAAATTGAGATATCAGAGACTACACAAAAATTCCAATAGTGCACAAGAAAATGAAAGATGATACGAAAGTAGGTGCTACAAGCATAGATTTTTCTAAACTTTTGGCTTCGTGGTGGAATAAAAATCTTAATGTGGAATATAAATGTAGCAAATGCTACTTAAAAGATGGGGAAATGATTATTTAAAACAATTAAAACAAGATATAATTCAAAGTCTTAGCCTCCTGCAAATTAACTTCTATCCCAATTAACCTACAATGCAGATCAATCAATACAAGATCTTGTTTTAGTTGGAGATTTATGTTTAAACAACTGCATCTCAATTTTTTCTCTTTTTTTCTTTTCTGTTGCTTCAGAAGTAAGACTCACATTTTTATGATTTTATGATGAAGTGGGCTAACAGTTTTGGTTGTGATATACAGATGGAACAATGGGAAAATATGTACCTGAAAGAATTGAAACGTATATGTATAATCTTTCTTTAAGATTATGTATAATCTTAAGGAAAACTTTATAAGACGACATATCATTGACATTTGCCACCTGAGAAATTGTATAAAGACATTTCAAATATATGCTGGATATCCAAACAACAGGAAGGGACGTTGTATCATCTTTGGTAGATGTGTGAAAAAGCTAGAAAATTCTGGATCCAAATTTCTGGATCCATTGCTTCGGAGCACCTAAAAGATTGATATACAATAGAAACCAGAGGGGCTCTTTCTGGAAGGGATAATCTGGAAAGTCTTTGATTTTTTGTACATGATAACTACAGAAAGTTTATTGTATGTATAACTACACTAACCTTTTGATCAAAGAAAGGACAATATCTACATTTATAACTAAACTGGGAAGTCTTGTACATTTTTTTCAAGAAACAGAAAAAATGAAATTATGATTCATGTTTTGATTATTAAACAGAAACATTTTTAGAAAGAAGGGAGATATGTTGTAACTATAGTGTAAGAGGTAAACATATAATTGTACTTATAATTGTTGTAAAGACGATTAGGAGCTACTTCTTTATAGCTTTTTTCTTCCTTTTCTATTTTCTTTTCCTTTCTCTCTCTTTTTTCTTTTTACTTTATATTACATTGCATTAATTCTTATATTTAAAAAAACTTGTATAAAATTGTATAAAAATATTTGCATAGGATATTGCTGTGAGTTTGAGATGTCTTAGCTTTACTGCATCTGCAGGCTTAATTTTACATGTTAAATATATATCAAGTGGTCCTCATTTTTCTTTACACTAGTATATGTACCCTAATGGAAACCACTACACACAGAAGGTGTGGTAGTTATGAAAACTACCTTCTCACGTGAAAAAGAGAAGGGAGAACAGAGAAGGGAGAACAGAGAAGGGGGGAAAGCTTCATTAGCATCATTGGTTTTTTTCACCTATGCTATTTTGATTTTCTGAAACAACTTTAAGCTTGATCCTCTACCCAGGCATTGATCTCAATCAGAATATGAGCTCCAAGCTTTTACTGTACCATAAAAGAACATTTAGGCAGTCGGTATGTATAAAATACTTCAGGTATATTGTGCAATTTAATCCTGTGTTTATAGCATAGAAGCAGAAATAAGTGCATGTTAATCACCAAGTGAAAGTCATACTTAAAGGACTAAAAAAGGAAATATGGCCAGGAAGCTTGATTTATTTGTCTGTGTGTTTTATAATCATATTATGCTCTGAAGCAGCAGATCATGGCCTTGTCAGAGTCTAGGTCTCTAAGGAGAAGATGGATCTAGGGCCGACGGAGCAGAGGTGGTATGCTGTTGATTCGCCCTGGTTCAGGTGAACTGATAGTGGTGGTGGCGGGAGGTTCCACCCACCTGCCTAGAAGTCATCACAAACTCTCTGCACTTGGCATTTGAAAGATAATGTTAGAATTATTTTGGATGCCTTAGAATATTATGAAGCTCGGCCGAATAAACAAGTGGCCTTTATGTTTCTTGACGCACAAAAGGCTTTTGATCGGGTAAATTGGAACTTTATGTTGTCACAATTAGAAAATATGAAGTTTGGAGAAAGCTTCTTAAATGCAATTCAGGCAATTTATGTACAACAAACCGCGACAATATTGGTAAACGGAGAAGAG